GGATCTTGGGCGCACACGCACAAGCGCCCGGCGTGAGTTTTAAGCCACCGGGTCCGGGACGTGAACCGCGGTCGACTACGTGGGAGTCCAGCGACATAGCCATTACGCTAACTGCTGGTCCCTCTCTGTCTCTGTTCTTCTGGCAAGCGCAAGTCCAGGCCACGCAGCAATCACTGCTGCTCCATTCTGCTCTCAAGATGTTGGGCTTGCACGCACACATACATACCCAGCAAGTTTTTCAAGCTGCTGAGTCCGGGACCCAAACCGTGAAGCTGGCCATGTGGGATCCAGCTGCCTTAACCTCCGTGCCACCTGCTGACTCCCAGCTTACTCTATTAATACACACTTAGGACAAGCATTGTGAGAGGAGCACAGTGAGACCAGGTAGAGGCCCATCCCCTCGCACAACTCGAGGCCGCTGTTTGTACTACGTGAGATCGTCCGTGTCTCTGGAGCCGCTCCATTCCTTACAGCACCCACTGTCTCTAGAGCACCACGTGGCACTCGTGTGCACTCCATCTTTGTGACCGGTACTATGTAAGTGCCCCAATTTAAACTTCTAGATCTTTCCTTATGCTTCCAGTGGGTCCCAGAGCTTGGAGCACTTGGCTTTGTGCTTTGTGTGCTAAATGCCTCTGTCAGAGGCAGGACGGCACAATCAGATTAGGATGGTTTGAAGGGGCGTTTAATAAGATGAGGAGTATGGGTTTGCGGGTGGAGGGGAAGGCAGCTGGGTCCCACATGGCCACGCTGTGTGGTTTGGGTCCTAGACGAATCACACCTGGGGCATATGCACGCATGCCCCAAGTCCTGAGACCAGAATGGAAGAGGGGACTGTGGTGTGGCCATCCCCCGTTTTTTTTTCTTTTTTTGAAGAGGTTTTTGCTATAGGGTACGTGAACTCACCAGAAAGACAGAGACAGAGAGACAGAAAGAGAGAAATTATCCCCCCCCGGGGGGGGATCGCCACACCGCCATCCCTTCTCCATTCTCCTCTCAGGATCTTGGGCACGCACACACACATGCCCGGCGTGAATTTAGGCCACCAGATCCAGGACTCAAACCACAGTCAACTACATGGGAGTCCAGAGACATAGCCATTATGCTAACCGCTGGTCCCACCATCCCCTCTTGAGGGGTGATTTCTCTCTCTCTCCCCAAACTCTGTGTGTGTGTATCTCTTCCCAGAAAGCATAAGTTTTGCTTTAAAGTTTTATAGCAAACTTTAAAAACAAAACAAAACAGTGATATTACCAAGAAGTGAGCAGGGTATAGAATGGAGTAATAAACCTTGCTACCCACCACTCAGCTGTGACCACTTCTAAGTTCAAAAAGGCAAGAGAATGCTTTTATGCAGAGAGGGCTTCCTCAGTAAAACTGTAACAGTTGATGGACTCCGTCACTGTAGCAGTTGATGGACTCCGTCACTGTAAGATCGGGACTGCTTCCTGAAGCAGAAGGCAGGAGGGTGAATCTAAAGGGCAAAGCTAAGACACCCAGTACAATAAACACAGTGTCTGTTCAGAAAAGGGTTGCAGTACTGAGCCCAGGAGAGGGAGGAAAAGGGATGTGGAGCCTGGGAGATGCTGCTTTGAAATTTTTTCAACTCTCATCTCACAGGACTAGAAGCTTCCTTTAAAAAATAATTCCCAGAGGGGCCAGCAGGTGGCATGGTGGTTGAGAGTGCTGGACTCCCACATGGCGGACTACAGTTCGAGTCCTGGACCTGGAAGCTTGTTTTCTCACTCTCTCTCTCTCTCTCTGGTCAAATAAATAAAAAGATAAAGTTAAGTAGAATAATAATTCTAAAAAATCAAAATAATAATTCCCAGAGAGTATATGTGCTCACCAGAGACAGAGAAGTAGAGAGAGGGGCCCTTTCTGTGGCCTGGTGGTTGAAGAAGGCAGATCCCACATGGCCTACCACATGGTTTGAATCCCGGCCCCAGCAGCTCAAAAATCGAGCCAAGTGCACGTACATGTGTACCCAAAATCTTGGCGGGATGGAGAAAGGGAGGAGAAGGGACTGAGGTGTGACCATGCCCCATTGGGGAGTGCTTTCGCTGTCTCTTACGCCGGTGAATGCACAAGCTCTCTGGCAAAAAAAAGGGGGGGTGTGTGCATGCCCTAACGGGGCCTAGACACAGCACTCCCGTCTCCATTTCTCCATCCTGTCGGATGTGGGCTGTACGCGCAGGTGCCCAGCATGTTTCTCAAGCTGCCAGAGCGGCGCTCCACCCACGGCCGGCTGTGTGAGATCCAGCTCCCTTACCCTCCCGGTTAGGAGGCACACGAGAGAGGGAGATAGAGGTAGAACCCAGCGGGACCTGGTCATGCTATTCTTTTTTCTCCAATTCTCCATCCGATCAGGGTCCTGGACACACGGGCCCCAGGTGTGTAAATTCCCAGGGCAGGGACTCCCATTCTGATCGGCCATGTGGACTCTTGCTTCCTCTGCAAGCATATAACCACTGTGCTTTGGGGCCGACTCTTCCTTGAATTCTCAGCTTGGGCAATTTTCATTCTCTCGGGATCTAAGT